GCAACAGACGATGTAGGGAGAAAAAGGGACAGATGGGGGAATACCTCACTAAAGCTTATGCCTGAGATCATGGGCAGAGATGAGAATAATACTCTGCCTTCCTGTCTCCTAATTCCGTGCTCAATCCATTCAAATGTGCTGCCCCAAGATCAACCCAGACTCTGTTCCTCTGTACATTTTATATTTGACTCATTTTCTTGTAAGTCCGATGTTATCTCCTTTCTGCTTGTATGAGATGTTGGCAAAAGAAGTGCTGACTTGTAAAACTGCAGTGCCAAAGTCATTTCTGTTCAAGGAGCAGAACCTCTGTGCTAACCTCAAGCCATATGTAAGACTTTTTGCTGTTGGTACCTAATATTGCAGTGCTCTGCATTGCACATCTGGGCTCTGGCAGATGGTGGGTCTGAGTTGGTAGCATTCACTTTACAAAAATATTTCAGGAGTGATTTTCCTACAGGACTAAGAGTGGCGAAACTATATTATTGAAAAAAAAGAAGTAACAAAGTCACCCCTCTAGATGTAGAAGTTCTTTCCATGCACAGCATGATGGTTCAGGTACTCAGCATTTGCTTCTAAGCCAGACTTTGTGGAGGAGGATGAATCTTTGATCTTTAGCGATGCCTTTTAAATGTGGTTATGGCCAGAAAAGTGAATGTAAAGAGCTCAAAGTCAACATTCAGTGTAAGTGCACTGAATGCACCTGGAAGGAGTTGTTACTGTAGGCACTGCATCATATCTGGGCTGAAAACGCTGACAAGTGTCACCCCACCAGCTCTTGTTTTCCTGACCTTTCTCACAGAAAGGGAAACCAGGAACCTCTAGTGAGCTATCCTTGGCAGTAAACTTTAGATAAGGTTAAAAACCTGAACTTTTAAGGGCCTTGTCCAAGGCAAACCTTGGGAGGTTAGAGAACGTAAGGACATCCTGGGGCTAGATCTGCTGTTAGTGCACTCATCAGCTCAATCAAGCCTGTGTTGGGGACAGTGAGCAGGACGAGGAGTTGAGTGGTGACAATTCCCATTGCACATCCTCACTGTGTGCATGCCCCTGATTTTTGCCTGAGGGTTGTTCATACAGAACACATTCCTTTCATGCAGAATAAATGCCCCAGAAGTCCCACTCATTAACCCAAGAAAAACCTTTTGCTAACACACAAATGCCATTTGCACATGGCAGTAAAGCCTCAGGATAACTTGCTTGAAGCATTGCCTCTGCCCTGCTGCAGTGCTGTCGGTGTGACCAGCAGAGCAGGCTGCCTTTCCTGAAGCACAGGAACAAAATCACAGCACAAATCACCGTACTGAGGCACTTACATGTGGGACCTGGCTCTAGGTGGCTCACCTAAGAAAACAAAAACCTACAAATTTATCCTTGCACAACTATAAGCTGTTATTACTAATAGCCATTTCACATTTTCATGTCTAGGAGATCCACAAATGTGTGCTAGCTCTGTACAAAGTTGTCTCAGTGCTCGCAGCAAAGGGAGCCCATCGTGGTGGGCTGCCTTGCAGAGGCTGAGGCTGTGCTCTGCAGGGGCTGAACTTGCCTATGGCCGTGCTGCAAGCAGCCTAGACGGGGCTTGCCACATTTATGCCAGGAATGTGATTAAAAACTGGAAAAACTGAAGCCGGCCTATTCCCAGAGGCAATATAATGTAACGTATATGCCAGAGTAATACACACAAGACCCCTGTCTCAGACACAGTCTGGCCAGCTCAAGGACACAGCCCAGGAGGCGACAGTGTGGGGGGAGCTCTGTGAGCAGTGCCCTGTCTGGTTAGGTTATGTTAGCACCTTTCACACCTCGCTTTGCTCTCCCAGTTGCCCGTCACCAAGCGCTAAGTAACTCTAGATTCCAGTGGGACAGACATTTGCCCTCTGGTATGCAGTTTAACTCTTGATCCCTTCCTCAGCAAGAGCTGAAGTCAAACACTTCCTGATCAGATTAGGTCCTTCAAAACGGAATCTAGCCAAGTAGAGCCTCTGATAGTGACTACAAGGCAGGTTGTGTGCTTTCCCCATCCTGGCAAGGTCAGCTGAGCCTTGTCCTCTTCCAGGAAAATGAGTCCCACTTAGTCCTCCTTTTAGGGTGTCAGCTGAGTGGCGCTGTGCTCTAATCCCACAAGTTAAAGGTTACCTGCTGCCTACCACCCCTTTGCTTTTCTCCCAGGTTGTAACGTCCAGATCACAGAAAAGCTGTTTGCAGCAGGGCTGGCAGCATGCCACTTGACTTCCTCGCGTGCAATCAGCAATACTTGTTTGCTATTTGCTTGCTCGACCTGACTGTGAGCAGGTGTTACAAGCCACTATCTCTCATCTGCAGAAGCTCTGTGTGTCATCAGTTCCCTCGGAGCCATGAGTCTGTAGTGTTTGTTGCTGTAACTAACCCAAGGCTTTAGCTCAAATGATCACCCTTTCAGTAACTGCTTGCGCCTGCCACAGTGGCAGTCATCACATTTGAATTTCTTTTCCTCTGTGCCATGAAGTCTTAAAGTGTGTGCATTTTGCAGACTGCAGACACTCAAGCAGCAAAACGCAGAGCTGCTCCATGCAGCTGCTGCCTGCCTGCTGGCTGTCACTGCTGTGCTCACGCCGGGCGCTGTGCAGGCAGGGCCCGGCCACTTGTCTGTCAGGGAAGGTCCTTATCTGAGGAGGCAGACTTTCCATCTGATACCAGACAACTGTGTACTTGCCTTTTGTTAGTTCTGTGTATTGTAAAGATACTGGCTTAATAACTGATCCTAGTCTGGGGCTGTTCTTTGCTTCTTGATATTTTCTTTTCTGATTTTTTTTTTTTTTTTCAGCAGAATCTCTCTTCAGAAGAAAAATGGCTTTAGGTAGAAATAACATTTTCCCAGATATTGCTTCCCTCAAAGGTAGATTTGTGTGTGTTTTTAAACTGGAAATCTCCAAAAGAGAAGAGCTTAAGAGCTCCCTGTGAATTCACAGTGGTACAGATGGCTTCCTTGCCTCTCACTACAAGGCTCAGCCCTCACCCAGGATGCACAGCACAGACTAGGAAGGCAGAAGTCAGTCCAGCACCCCACGTATCTGATGCCCGCCTACCCCCTCATAATGCTGGGAGCTCCACATTTTCTAAGCAGAGGCCTATGGAAGATGGGTCATCTTGGAACTGTTGTCTGATATCTTGACAGTAAACCAGAGAAGCAGCAAGCTTCTGGAGCCCTACCTCTGGAGGGAAGGCCTGTTCTGATTTAAGAGCTATTACCAGACTGCAGTGTGTCCTTACATTGTTCTACACAGGCAAAGTTTGTATCCTGGAGAAATTCTCCATCTCTTTAAGGACAGAAGGCTGTGATCATGCAGGAACACGCAACATGCAGCATTGGGCAGCATGGGGCAAAAGCTCTCAATGTCGTTTAAGGGCTGTTGCCGTTGCAGCTGCTCAGTGTGAGAGGTTGCTTACAAAATGCTTGGAGCAAAAACTGAGACTTCAGCAGGACTTACATACATACGAGGGCTGTCCTGAATTCAGGCTTAGTCAGGCCCACTGAAACTCAAGGCTACTCAGGAGTGTTTGGTTTTGTTACGTGAGCTGAGGTCTGTGATAGAAAAGTGCTGATATCTGTAGATGCAGAGCACTGACATGACTCATTCTAAATGCGTTAATTTCAAGCCGAGAGGGATTCTAATATTTAGCCAGTTGACTACAACTATTGACATTTTTGTGATGATATCACAAGCCCCTTAATATCTGATTTTCACTTTGATTCTTGTGTGATCGGAGGATTTCAGCAGCTGTATGTTTCTAAGTTTTCAGAATTTCTGTTTCCCTCCTCAGTTGTGGAAAAAGTTTGCAAAACTAACCTCAGAAATGACTGTTGTGGGGAAGAAGGCAGAGAACAACAATTTATTATTTTTAAAAGCTCACAATTTGGATCGTGTCCTGTGAATTTGGAGCACTAGAGGTTTAGCAACAGATCAGCTTTGAAAGCAAAGGCAGCATCTGCAAGCTCACATTAACCCACTGCTTCATGTATGTAACAGGTCTTCTCAGTGCTCAGTCCACAGAGCAGGCGACTCTACTGCTGCCTTTGTTTTGGAGGTCTGCTCCATTAACTCACATTAAAGTAACGTGCACTTTTAGTCTGGGAGGTTCCTCCTTCAGTTTCTGGCTTGCCAGCCATAATGGCAGCTGTGCGCTGTGTGGTTAGCTGAGCTCCATTCAAGAACATGCAGACCCTGTCAGATGCACTTGGAATAAGAAGAACTGTGCCAAAGCCTTTATGAACCTGGCGTGCTTCATTTAGAAAACCCAAGCGCATCAAGGCAAGGAAATTGATAGTCAAAACTTTTTGTCAACATTTTGAGTTGCAGCAGGAAAAAAAAAAAAGGATAACAATTTCCTGTTTTTAAGCATTTCTAGAAATGCACATTTGGTAAATCAGCAGTCCTACATTTCCCACAAAATAAACAAAAAGGGTAAAGGATTGCATTTTTTATCCCACCACTAGCACCCACAACTCTGACCTGCACTGACTGCTTCTGCTTCACGGATAGCCTCAAAATATAGACACCACACAAAACCCCTTGGAAGAAGATGCTCAGAAATAATATGCACCTCCAAATGACGCTCTGGATATTTTATGTACTACATATCTATTTTTATGGTTTTGGACCTCAAGTGCAGACAGGAGGGCAGGTAACCACATAAAACACAGGTGAAGCTGCTTCTCAGAGTCTGCTTTCAGTGACCCCTGAGCATGGTGTAGCAACCAGCTGCCACCTTTGCTGTTTGCAGAAGTCAGATAACCTTAATTCTTGCCCCACCCAGCAGCTAGCAAAGGAACCCACTGGTTTTGCATATGGGTTGATGGACCCCAAAGTATCTGATTCAATCTGCAATCCTGACAGGTGGCAATTTCAGACAGAGCTGGGCAGCTGGGGGGCCCTCACAGGTGCTCACCAGCTCAAAGAGAGAATGAGAGTGGGGTTACTGGTTTAGTCACAGCCCTGAGCACTTGTTTTTTCTCTCCTCAGGAGGCCCTGTCGGTGGTGAGCGACGACCAGTCCCTCTTTGACTCCACGTACGGCGCTGCCACTCACCTCCCCAAGGCAGACATGACAGCCTCAGGGAACCCTGACTATGGCCAGCCACACAAAATCAACCCTTTGCCTCCTCAGCAGGAGTGGATTAATCAGCCAGTCCGGGTCAATGTTAAAAGAGAATATGACCACATGAATGGATCAAGGTAAGGAAAGACCCTTTCCTCCTCTGCTGAATCTTAAATAAAAGTAAAGTACGTGTTGTCCATTTGTGCTCTGCAGTTCAACAAACTCAATGTCCATGTAGTCGTGCATCACTACCCCTGGAACCAGAGTGTCTTATCATTCATGGCTTGCAGACCCTTAGCACGCAACTCCACCAGTCTCTCTGAACGTTGTACAGACTGGGATGTGAGACTGCGGGGACAGAGTTCATCCTACAAACACTGTTTTGATTAACACATTTCATCACTTAGTTCAGCATCTCACAAATATGCCATGGTTCAATGGGCTTCCAAAGACAGAGTTTATACTAGTAGTGAAGCTAGTGAAAGCTGCACTAATGGACTGCATGAGCTTCGTTGGAGGGAATTCTCATTGCATCTGCAAGTACGTTTGTGCTTTGCTAGGGCAGAGGGAACAGTAGGAAATTGGAAAGCTATTTGATGATAAGAAGATGAGACTGATGTATTTCATGGCAGTCTAATAGGCGTAACAAAACAAAAGTCATATGTGCATATCTTCTGCATGTGTATATGTGACCACTTGTGAAAATGAGAGCTTAGGATTAGGTTTGAACAGAGAAGTTAACCATCAGTAATACATGGATTATGATATATATTTAGCCATAGAAATGGGAAGCCTGCCCCATTCCACTGGTAGTTAGAGCTGGGGAAGGTGGATCATTTCCCCATTCAGCAAAGGAAATATTTTCTTATCAGCTCAGACTGTTTCTTTAAAGAACATTTATAGTAGTAAAAACACTAGGAAAAAAATGGCACCCTCTTGGAGAAAGTCATGAAGACTAAAAATTCTAAGTTATTTCAATTTTAAATATATACAATTTAAAACTAATTCATTTTTAGAATTAGATTTTAGAGCACATTCATTTCTTATTAAATTTTAATTGCAAAGTCACAAAGATCTGTAACATTTATATTATGTTAATATAGTTAAACATTTGAGGGCTTTTCTTCTCTAGCAACCTACTTTCCTGGTTTCTGAGAACCTAGCAAAGTATAGCTTGAAACAGAAAGCAGCCTCACAGTTTCAGACTTCTATAGTGAGATGATGGTGTTAAAAACTTCAAACAGTAGTATGTTGTTTTTCCTCATCAGTATACAGATGCTGATTTTACTATGAGATAAAGGTCTGTATGTCTGTTGGTGTTTGATGGTGATCATTTGTAGATTGAATTTGATCCTGCCCCAGTTGTACCTTGGTGTCACATCTAGACCTTGGAAGAACTACTGGGATTTTTGCTCAGATTACAAACTGAAATATAGGAAAATGGGCTTTTTTTTTCTTTTTTCTTTTTCCTGAAAAAATCCATCCCTAGAGTTCACAGGAATTGGGATGGATCTTGACCTCTCCATCCTGTGCAGAGTTGAATTAGTCATGAGAACAGAGGTGGCAGAATCAGTCTCACATATGGCACAGGCAGCACACTCCCATGATCATGTGAGGAAACTCTTTATAGGACTGCATCAGTTGCTCACACTGACAGTAGCAGACCAGCTCTCACAGAGGGTTTCCTCCCTTTATTCCACTGCTGTCTCTCTCTAACAGATTTTGAAGGGCCTAACAAGGAAGAAGTCCTGTCAAATTTGCTGAGCTACCGGAGGCAGCAAATATTTCTGCTTTTCAGATCTTGCAAAAGCCTGCTCTGCATAGATTTGCATGTTGGTGTATTTATATACGTCCAGAAGTCTATGTAACATTTTCCTTGTATGTGTATTGCATGTACTTAGCAGTTAGAGAATCATAGAATCAGTCAAATGCATTGGGCTGTCCTTCCAAAGTGGTCTTTGTGCTGTAATTTCCTCTTCTGTTCAGAAAAAAAGGGAAATAATAGTGCTTTGACAGACTGATTCATTAGCAACTGTAAGTGCTCTGATACCCCTAGAGAAAGGCTCTCCAGAAGTGTGTTTATTCTGGGCAAAAAGGAAATCCTTTTTTATGGGTTTACTTGAACCTACAAGATTTTTAGGCAGAAACTCAGTGTCCTCAGTCACTCAAAGAAGGGGGAAACAATTTCCCAACCTGTTAGAAAAAAAGAAAGGACTGTTCTGCATGTCAGAAGTCAGCACTGAAATAACTTCCATCCTTGCCTTTTGATAACTTGTTAGCACAGGAGCTCCAACCAATCCAAGAAATGAGAACATTCATCTGATGTATCCATCCTCTCCCATTTTTTGTCTTTCAGGACTAAAAATTTGTCCTTTCCTCTCATGTCCATCACAGTTCATTGTTTCAGGTCAGGCTGCGCCTGTCACTTGTTCCTCTGCCCCATCAGCTGCCTGGCAAAACTGACACACCATCTGAGCAGCAAATACTGATCTCACTACCGATTAACTCAAACAGTGGACTGAATAACAAAGCCTCTTCCCCCTCCCTCTCTCCCTGTCTTTCTCTCCCTTGTTTTTCAAATACAGTCTCTTGCCGAGTTCCAGCTGCCTCATTAGAGAGAGTAACCTTTATTGTGTTTCACCTGTACTTGAAGCACAAGCATTTTCTCCTTGTTGAGAGAATGGTTTGTGTACTCTCCGGAGTGAGAGCTGTAGGAAACCTGACAGTGGAGAGAACTGGATGATGGTAATGGTCAGTGTCCAGCTTTTCTTCTTTACCTCAGTGCCCAGAAACAGCTCTGATAGCTGCGAGATATGATGTGATGGGCTGCTTTGGTTTCTAGTGTGGTGGGAAAAGGGCTCTTTGAAGAACCTCTCCCAGTCCATTGTACAGAACCATTCCTTCTAGTGCTAAACAACATGGCAGCCCTGCCCAGGTCTCTACTCCACATCAGGTGTAGAAAGAATTTCCCAGATAGCCGCATCCCATTGTGTATATGGGATGTTCAGGTGGTTGCAGGAATCTGTGCCTTAGATGAGATGATGGGACTTTTGCATTATTGCAAGATTCATAGGTAGAAATATGGTGAATTTGGAGTATTAGCAGACCTGGATGCAGCTCACACCATCAGTCTGTCCTTGCCTCCTTGGATGGTTCCTTGCTCAGCCCAAAGCCCAGCGCTGTGGTTGTATCTGGCAGTGGTTATTGTCCAAACATGTATTGCTAGCACTGACCTGTTGCACAGAAGAAATAGAAGTCCAGTTTTTCATCAGTTTACAGAAAGGTGTTGTGTAAGCCATTCATTCCACTTTGCATTGTTTCAGGGACTGGAAGTGTGGCTTGTGTTCTTTACTCTCTGCTGGATTTGTGTCTTCTGTTTCTTTAGTTTATAGCCCACCAGAGGAAAGCTCTGTCTTCTATGATGTGCATTTACAGCTCCAAATATACCACACCTGGGTTGCTGTTAGGGCCTTTGGTTGTCTTTTTAATATAAAAGCATATTTATATACATTTTTTAAAAGGATGAGAATCTTTCACATTTTAAATGCTGAAGAATAAAGGAAAAGGCTGGGTAAAGTTTAACCCAATTTACAGTCAATGTTAAGAACAGATTTTTCCATATCGTTTACAGCAATTCCAAAAGCAAAGAGTGAACCAAACAACAGATGTTACGAATTCAGCCACTGCGTATCTGCATTTGATGTTACAAAATTTGTATGATCTGCCCATAAAAAATAATATTCACATGTTCCGGATGCCTGCGTAGATGCAGATGAACTCCCCTGTGTAATTCCAACTGATGTTATGAATTTCGCCTAGCTAAAATGCTGTAGTCAGTGCTTTGAAACCGCTTTGAAAGCGCTCTCTTGCTTCAGAATATTAAAATAATGTTAAGGTTCAGGGATCTCAGAACATTTTTATGCCATTATAATTTTCTCAAAGCAAAACAAAGAGGCCATCAGTGATGTCTTTCGGAATAAAAATGCCCTGTAAATAGCATGTGAGCCCTCTAGTGGGATTCATGGTGCTGTTCCAGTCCCCAGCCAGAGCAGCAGACCGTGCAAATACCTTCTGTTTGTGTTGTACCTGTGAGCTGTAAATACAGACATGTTAGACCCGCACGAGCCTCTGTGTTTTCCCCACACAATTTGAGTTTTGCAAATCGTACATTTTTTCCCATCCTTTCTACAGCCATCTCTTCTTTCTGCAGGCTTTTAGAGCCTCCTTTCCAATGTGAGCCTCCTCTTCAGGCATTCCTTGCTTTGGGCGTGTAAATGAGAGGCAGTATTAAAGCTGAGGTTCGAGGAACTTTGCTTCTGCTCTGAGAGCTCTGTTCCTTGCCTGTGAAAAGAATCAGAAGCAGAATCATGATGTATTTGTTCCTACTTCCTTTAGTGAACAAAAATAAAATTTAATTCCACATTTAAAGTTGAGATGATCAAATGAGGACTTACACATATAAGTGGCATGCTTAATTAAGAGGGAAGAAAAAAAAAGATATGAAGAGGGAAGGAATGGAAGGATAGGAATAAAAGGATAGAGAGAAGAAGGAAATGTTCCACTGATCACAGCTGAGTCAGTTTCAGGAATCATTAAAACCCCTTATTTTGCTCCTTCAAATGAAAGCCAAAGGTGATTCCTAGACAGAGGTCCTGGGACAGTAATTGCTTTATTTCCAAGTATCTGGAACACAAACTGAAGCAGTACAGAGCAGTTATTAGTCAATGCCAGCCTGGCTGCTTGTCCGTTTTGGCCAGTCTAGCACACACTTTCCCAAAACACCAAGCTCTTGGCATCCCCAGAGACTGCTACTGGAGCTGCTGGAATGAAGAGTCTTTGGGCTGACAGTGGGAATGAGCACTGCTTCATATTCCTTGGACTCAGTCACTGCCATAGTGAATACACTTAGGAGATTTTGTAAAAGCAGCCTATATCCCTTTACATTGGTAGATTACAACATTTTCTGCTCCAAACCTGAGCAACTATATCATGTGTAGCCACTTGAAAGCCTGGAGCAGGAATAATCTGTGAATACTCAAGGATTAATCAGGCATCTGAAATCTCACAAACCATTTCAAATAATGAGGAAATTTTTCTATAAATCTAAGCCTGCTTGTGAGTAATGCATGAAGTAAGAAAGGAGTGTATTCCAATGAATACCCCATTCATGGCTGCCTGTTCTCATTTGATACTGTAGTTATTCCCATACTGAATTCTTCTTTGTACTGCCCACAGTTCCACGTACCCTCTGCTGGGACGCTGCTGAGTGCCTCCTGTGAGGGCAGGCTGGGCTGTGCAGCGAGGCACCTCCAGGAGCTGTGGGCACTGGCCAGACTAATAGCGTTCATTTGGTCTCATTTGGATTTAGTAAGAAATGCTGCATTGCAAAGGACACAAAATAAGAATCTTCCTGCTTGCTGTTGTTAAAGATTTCAGTGCTTTTCTTAAGAGAAGGGCAGTTTGATCTCCTGCCTAATAATAAAGTTTTGGTAACGCCATCCCCAGTTAAGTTTGCTTTCTTCTTACTGGGGCTAGTTGTGGATCAGCCATCCTTAAAACTTGTTCTAAAGAAAAGGAGGCATCTGTACATCCACATGGACACAGCCCTGAAGGTGCACGGGTGCATTTAACATTTCTCACGGGATGAGTGGAGTGGTCTTTTCCTGCAGTGTGCTGCTGGGGTAAGCCACTTGTTGGTAAGGACCCCTGAGTCCCTACAACTTTTTTTGAGCTCTCTGCCCTGGATACTTGGTTGTCTGGTTTTGGCTGCTGAGACATACAGAGCAAGCAAAGGATCCGCAGGGCTCTAGCTGCCAAGCCAAGAGAGATGGCTGCGTCTACAAAGTGAAAAATGATCACAGAACTGCTGAGGAGATATCTTACAGTGCTGGGGTTATTTTTGCTCCTTTGCTGTCGGCCATCTGAATTGCACAGAACGCAGCAGAGAGAGTGAAGACAGCCCAGGTCCCTGCTGTCTGTTCATGTGTGTCATTTGCTGCCACCAGAAAACATGTGCACTCCTACACAGATGAGCCTTCTGGAAGATGTACTTATCTGACAGACTGCATGTATCCTATCGCTTCGTATGGATATGATATACGTAACCATCCTAGCATAAATATTGCATATGTAAACCAAAGGGGTTATTTCTGGGGAAATTCAACTAGAGGGGGTGGGGGGAGCATGAGCCCCCTGGAAGGATGGCAGGCAGCAGGGAGCTGTGCCAGCACTGCTAGCACGTGGCAGCGATGCTCGCTGCTTTGCCGAGTCTTCTCAGGACAGCCTGTACCTCAGGAAAGAATAAGAGTCTTTGTGCTGCTTCAGGGCTTTTTCTCTGCCAGTACAGGCAGCATTTAACACCTGACACAGGGAATTTCAACAGAAAGTTAGGAACGATTGCATTCCCTGTGAAAACCCCGGTGTCCCTGCAGTTGCTCAGACTCTCCTCTGACTGCCACTGGGACATTAAACCTTCAGCAGTTTGCCTCTCCGAAGGCGGATTTTGGTTCCCTGCCTGGAAAAACAGTAGGCGAAATAGTAAAGCCTTAAATTCGAACATGTGTAAGTTATACATCTTATTTCCATTTTGAAGCAACATTCCCTCAGCAAGACATGAGGAAAAAATTACCATCTGCCTTAGAATATCTCGGTGGAGCATTTATCTCCCAGCCATGATAACTGAATTTCAGTAATTTCTTCCCCCAGCCCCCCGTCATTCAGATTAAGAAACAAATTTGTTTAGTGTCCAAACTTGGAAGTCTTGCCAACTGAACTCAGAGGGTGGGATTTGGTGCACTGTCATAGTTGTTACCCTTCAGCAAATGGTTTCCTCCCAAGCCTCTTTCCTCCTGGCGGGGAGGAAGGACGGCTGTGCAATGAAAGCAGCCGGCTGAGCTGCACTGGAGACAGGCTCTGTGCTTGCTTTGTGTAGGTAGAGCTTGCACACTAAGACACTCTTGTAAAGATGAGGGCAATAGTCCTGCCCTTCCCTGGTACATTCTTTAGGGCTGGGATGTTCTGTGTGCATGTGGCTGGCTGCAGACTGGTATTTTAAGTGACCTCTAGAGCTAAAAGCATGAGTTACAACTGCAGCTGGAGAAAAACAAAGTCTGTGCTCCCTATCTGTGGTTTGTAGGCCATAATTCTCCCAAAGCAGGACAGAGAAATCCTGGTGCTTGCCAAGGGTCTGTGTGTAGTCCCGGCCTTAGTACAGTGCCACCTGAGTTGCTAAATGTTCCCTTCTCGACGCTCCATCACTTCAGAAGTAAAACCGAGGCCAGAGCCTTTTTCACACACGGTTTCTGTGGTCTGAAGCCCTTGACTCATGCCTAAGGCACCTAAGATTTCTAGATTTCCTATCCAAGCAGGAGACAAGCCTGGGACTGTTCAGGTGCTGAGAGCAGACAAGATCAGTTACATTCAGCTGCACATAAACACGTCTCTTTAGATACCACATTGTAGTATTCTCCTGTGACTACCCTGTCATTTTGGGATGGGTATTTTGTGTCCTTTCTTAACAAAATGGAGGGGCATGTTTCTGTATTTTGGATTTACTCTGCAAAAAAGCCTTATGTCACAGGGTGAAGACTGCCGCCTTTCTGTTGCTTCATGGGCTCACCTCTAGCAGAAATACAGTGTGCAGAGCTGTTTGTAACACAGTCCTGGAGCAAACAGTCCAACAAGGACTCCTAGGGGCATAAAGCTGGAGGATTGCTAAAATGCAGCTAAGGATGCAGGAAGAGTGCAAGGAATGGCTGGAACTAGGACCTGTGCTATTGTCACTTATGCATACTCATTTTTATCCCATACACGAACTTTGGTATTTCAGAGATTTCACACGTGATCTTACAGTTGCCATTGCCTTTGTCTGGAAGTCACTCTTTCTTGCATTCATTTCCTTATCAAAGATCCCTTCTGTGAGGCTTGTGATTTACAGAGCACCTTCTGACACTTATGTGGCCAGCTGGGAATGGCCTCTCCCACATCTACAGAAAAGTCCCTCACTTTTCCCTTCCAGAATACTTGCCATTTCTGTCATTCAAATCTCCTTCTGCTACAGCAGGGATGAAAGGTGCATAATAATGACAAGTCATCTGTTTCCTTTCACATTTCAGGGAGTCCCCTGTAGACTGTAGTGTGAACAAATGCAGCAAGCTCGTCGGAGCAGGCACAGAGTCCAACCCCATGAGTTACAGCACCTACATGGATGAGAAGAACGGGCCTCCTCCCAACATGACCACCAATGAGAGGAGAGTCATTGTCCCAGCAGGTACCACCACCATCAAACTCCTTGGGTGATATTTGGACTGTTTTAAATATCCATCTAACAGATAAAGCTTGTTTGTCTATTCTTTGAGGAGTTCTCTTGCTTACAAATTATGTGAAAAATAAGGAAAAAAAAATCTGTTTACAGCTAGTGAAAATTCCCTGTGTCCCAGTGTACATTCTATCTTGAATCAGAATAGGAAGTGGGTTATTAGTGCTAATTTTTCCTTTTATTTATTTGTTTACTTATTTGTTTATTTATTTTCCCCCTGGGAATGAAGTGTTTTGGTGTATTGAACCAAATCCACTTCTTGCAGTGTGCTTGAGCAGAACCTGCAGTGCTTCAAGGGATATGCATGGTGCAATCAAGAAGTGCAGTTTGCAAGCAAGGATAGGCACAGAGTGCACCAAAATTAAAACTCCTGTGATGCTCTGCAGGATCCAGATGCACTGTCATGTCATGTTGATTGAAAATGAGCTATTATGTTTTCATTCTTCTGCTGTTAGTAGAAAACTAGAAAAACTATTTTCAGAAACTACATTAACCTTCCAAAAAATAGTGCAGGAGAACATTCCTGTCCAGCTCTGTTTGTATTTGACATCCACATCTGCTGTCTGAAATTGGCAGCATGCATTAAATGCATTTGGATAGTCAAGGATGAAAGCAAACAACCTGGGAAGTCTGAACCTGAAAGAACAGGGAGTCCTTCCTCTGTGAAGTTTACGAACAGCATAGGTATAAACAAGTTAGCTGGGGAACTTCACAGCAAGGGAAATATTATAAGTCAAGCCATGGCCTGATTTACATACCAAAACTTCCACAGATTTCATGGCAGGGTCGGGCTTTTCACACGGCGTGTCAAGGGTTGTAGAATCACAGAATCATTGTGTCTGATTCAAGCAGTTCAATTGCTGGCAGAAAGAAATGTACTCGTGGAATTTAGCTCTGTTTTCTGATCGTGGCTTCACCACGAACAGATGACAATTCCCAAGCATTTGTTTGCCATTTAGGATGAAAAGAAAAAGCTTGAACTGAATGTAGTGAAGGGAAGCCAATAAAAGATTGACAGCAAGTCTCAAAGTACCGTTTAAGCCCTGGTAAGGATCTGCTTAGGCAGGCTGCTAACATAACTGGTGTCAGGATCAGATGCTTTCAGCACCAGCACTGCCCAGAGGGGCTTCAGCTGATACCATCTAAGGCATTATGAGGGATGATAAAGCTGTTCAATATGGAACATTTAGCCTGCTCTCTACCATGCTATCCATTCCTATTGAAAAAAAGATCCAATGTGACCCAACATTCAGGGTTGTTGAAATGTGAGAAATGACTGTTAGTGGCCTTGGTGGAAGGGGAAAAAATCTCTTTGTTGAAGGAAAGTGTAAAAAGATTTTTTTCCCCATGTGAGCATTCACAAATCAAAATCTTGAGGTAGTGTGAAATAGCAATGATTTACCAGACTTTGGAAGACAATAATGACCATCACCCCTCACCAGCCCAAGCACATGTAGCTCACAGCCTGGGACCAAGGCATTATTTTACCACTGAAGTGTGGCAGACTCTTCTTGCCTCTCTGTGAAGCTTAGGTTGCCATCTGTGTGACACCTACATATTTCTGACCCATTTTTCTCTACTACCTTGGGACCTGAGGCATTTGGGCTTTACTGTAGAGGAAGGTACCAGCTTTGACAGCCAGATCAAACTTCTCCAAAATTTGGGCTTGATTTCACAACCCTCCCTAGCTGCAATGGAACATGAATTTGTGGCTTCGGTTTTCAAATGACATACGTGGGGAGAAATAGCACAGGAAACATCTGAAATTGTAGATATGCTCTGAAAGTGACTCTGTAAAAATGGTATCATGGCACAAACTTGTGGTAGGACTTTCTGATCTACTGCTCCTTTCAAAATTCAAAGGACGATTTCTTTTTTTAACTACTGATGCAGCAAACCATCACCATGGGGTCTGAAACTCCAGCCGGGTTCAATCTCTCTCTTACGTCATCATCAGCAATAAAGATTCCACAGCTGGAGCTTTGCTGACAGTTGATAATGATGCATGAGGCAGTATGAAATCCACATTGCCATCCAATAGCTGTGTTGGTTTTACAGAGCTAGTGGAGGGAGAACTGTGTTCTTGTCAGCAGGGTGAACAAATATGACTCAGAGATGCATGGAAAGCTGTTTTGTTTAAGCAATAATTTTTGTTTCAGAGTCACTTTGCTGACCAGAAATACCACTATCTTCATACTTTAAAATGCCATCTGTTGAGACTTTGCAATGTACTTGCAAAGGATGGTGTGACTTAAATGGCACTGATGTAACTAAACAGTATTGCAGAACTGAAGCTGTGACAAGCATGCACTTTCAAAGGGATGAGCTTGCTTTGGAACTCTTTTTTCCAGAGAGAGAAAGACCACAGTTGAATTCCACTAAGATTGTTCCCAAGCAGTATGTATAAGATTAAGGCAGGTGGAAAACCATCAAGTGAGCTTACCCTGCCATGGAGCCAGTGCAGTCTTACAGCACCATGCTTGCTCATCCTGGCAAAATGCATTGATATCAATAAATTAAATCCACTTGGTTGTGGAAACAATGGTTAATGCTTTGACCGGCTTACACTAAATGCTAGAGGCTTGATGCTCCCAGATAATATTAACCTCCTTTGTGCTTTTCTGGCAGATCCCACTCTATGGACCCAGGAACACGTGCGCCAGTGGCTGGAATGGGCCATAAAAGAGTATGGATTAATGGAGATTGACACCACCTTCTTCCAGAATATGGATGGCAAAGAGCTCTGCAAAATGAACAAGGATGACTTCCTCCGAACCACCTCCCTCTACAACACAGAAGTTCTGTTGTCTCACCTCAGTTACCTCAGGGAAAGTAAGTACCACCCTGACTCATTCTAGCCCTGGTGTGACATGCTGATAAAGCTACACATGAGTATTGAAGTTCTAGTGCTCTTTTTGCAGACAAATACCTGCATATAGGATAAGGGGGAAAAGAATAGAGAAAGTCAAACAGCAAAAGCAAACAAGGAAGAGAGGAATAAAAATTGGGTTGGAAAGCTAATGATAACCTAGATGGAGTTAGTGGAGCTGCAGGATATCAGGGAGGTGAAGAACTGAGCAGAACTCTTAAGATTAGATAATCTTACAGATAACAAAAACATCTGTGGCTATATGATAAAAACACAACCATTTTCTGAAGAAATTAAACCAAACATGAGCTGATGTGTCACCAGCAAATTGTTCTGTAACTTGCATGGTTTCTGAAAGTCTTCTCTTCATCTACAGAGTGGAAACATTCCCTTTCTTCACAAAGGTGTGCTGAAGATAATTGTGTTATGATGAGACCAGAGAACAGGAGCTCATGCAGTTTTCATAGGGTTTAGTTATTTGAGGACTAAAAAATCAGAGGAAAGTGTCATAAAGCATGGTGGGAGGGCAGGCAGAGAAAATAAAAATCATGTTTTCTCCATTGGGAAATCAAATTGTGATGTAAAGGCAGCTGAATATCTCTCCATCTGGCCATTTCAATAAAGCTCCGAGACAGCATTTATTTAGGGTGTTTTCTTCAAGCTATTCATCACTGGTCTCTCCCTGCCTCTGCTAAAATCAGTGGGAGTTTTACAGATTACAGTGGGACAGGAGTCAGATCACAGACGGGTGCCTCTGTAAGCCCCACCTTTATTTTGTTTGAGAAGCTGAGCCAACAAAATGATTCACAACAAATAAGCAAATTGTTGGATCTAAGCAGTTATTGTCCCTTGTGACTTCACAATAAAAAAAAATTCCCATCCAAATTTCATCCCGTTTCATCAGCAAAGTTTCATCAGCAAAGAGCTTCTAGTTCATGGAACACTTCAAGATTACTGCAGAGGCAAACAGCTTTCTAGCTAAGGTTTGCATTCAGAATTACACATTAAGGGAAATCTTAAGGCTGCTTTGTGAAGCCAGTGTTGCTCTGAGCAAACCTGCTGACTTCAGCTGGGCAAAGCAGACGCTGCGGAACCTGAAATGTTTTCAAATTCCCACAAGATAAATACTCAAGTGAGACCCTTACTTTTGAATTGTCTGATTGATAAGATTTGAGGATTCATAGAAAGAGATAAAATAAGATTCGTATGGTTTTTGAATCAAAGAAAGATGTGAAATTTGAAAAGGCTGACAAAACAACTGAATTATTTGGTTGCTTTAGCTCCAGAGAGCATCTTCAGTGATAGCCATCACCTGGGCTGCTGGTGACATCGGTATTGGAGGAATTGCATCCTTGTTCTCATGGCATAAGTCTGAAGACCTGGACTGAATTGTTGCCTTTACCATTTGCTGCCTTCCCTCTGTTTCAGAGTAAATTCCTGATTGAACCTAACTTAAGATATCTGAAGTACATTAGAATATGTACTTCATATATGCAGTATCTGAAGTAAAATAGAAGCCTGGTCACATTGGTCTCCAAACCAGCAGTGCACACTGAAATCCAGGCTGGCAGACCCCTAATTCACACATCACATTTAAAGCCTGAAGCTGAACCTTTGCCTGAGTTTCTCTGCACTTCCATTCTACTTTTCCTGGAGCAGAGCTAGCTTCCTCCTCAGTCTTCTTCATGTCCTGTCTATTGATATGGCAAATCTGCAGAATGGGGTCTGTGCCTCTTATTTCTCAAGACCCAGCACGATGGAGTCCTATCATGGAACATGCAACTGCTGCCGTAATACATCTGAATAATAATTATAAAAGTATAATGTTCTGCTAAGGGAATGTCTATAATGATTTCCATGCTATTAAGCTAGTGTAAAACCCAAGGAACTTTGCTGGATTCAGACAAATTAGTTACTTCATTTTTACCAGGATGCATACAAGAGCAGAATTCAATCCCAGTCCATCCCTAGCTTTTATGATTATACATTTCTTGCTGTTCAGCCCCTTGGGCTGTTCTAAGACGTCACACAAAAGCTGTCCTTATTAAAGCAAGCTCCTGTCTGAGTGGAGGTCAGGCAGTCTCCGAAGAGCATTCCTTTCCATGCAGCTGTTGCTAGTGCTGCCTAATGACAGTCTGGTTTCTGGATTGCTGGTTAACTCCCTCACGGAGTAACGCCTTCGAAAGGAGCTTATTGTTTTTCCAGACTGATTTCCAGCGGATGTTTAGTGCCGAGCCTCTGAGCTCAGTGCCATAGGGAGATGGGCTTTTTTCTTGTATTTTCTCCTCTTGTAAGGCTGTTTGTTCCAGAGACATCCAGCTAAGTAACTGCATAGGGTGGAGAAGGTGTGATGGCAATGAAACGCAGGAGAACTTTGGGAAATTGGGGGTCTATGGGCTACACTACATCTGCACAGTCTCTTTTTGAAAGACATTTGTACCTGTCAGGATCTTAAACTGTATTTGTGGTGACTAAAGGACCCTCAGCTTTGGTGTTTGTTTTCCAAAACCAAAACTGATCCGGATTTTCTGAGCCTGTTCACTTGTCAGAGACCCACTGAAAATGAGCCTCCTCATTTTCAGCATTTTACATCGTAGGTCAGGGTAAAAGCGTGATGAAGTGAGTCATCTTGGATTGAAAAAATTAACTGGTAACATCTGCAAGACCTCAACAAAAGCTTCATCTTAGAAGGTTCGGGTGAGCTATTTCATATAGATGAGAATTAAACTCACATCACACAGTACCTTCAGCTTTCAGACAAAATTTTGGTCTGGACCAGAGCTCTACGGTTGTTTCCTGTTTCCGTAACCTATTAAAGCAGTCAGAAATTCAGACATTTCTGACCCTTAAGAAATTTCAGACCCACAAAACCAGGTTCTGTAACCCTCTATCCTTTGCCATGTTCAAAACAGCCCTTCCTATTTTTCCAGGAAATACTGGTCTTGCCCCCAGAGCAATCCTATTTCTTTAAGCATTTCTTCAGGTTTCCTCTCTGGGGTTGTGAAGCCATGCCTTGGCCCTTTCTTCTTGCTCTTCTCTCTGTACCTTCAGACTGCAGACTGACTGACTGCTGTGTCAGTATCATTTTAAAGCAAAGTCAGCCTGGTGAAGCTTCTCCAGCCATGCAGCGGGCAGTGGGAAGGGAGATTAGAATGTTTTCATGCTATGCTTGGGATGAACATCAAAAGAAACCGGAACTGTCACCTCCTGTCCTTTTCCTCTCTAGTTATGGGGGGTCAGTTTGTGTGGTGTGTACAAACAAAAAGAGCATGAAGGGGAAAGAATGAGACTGCGGCTAGGAGCAGAAGCAGGAAACTGCTTTGTGGTTTTGATTCGTGTATTAATGCCAAACAAAACTATACAGCTAAATGCAGCAGACCCCTGATTCTACCAGGAGATGAGGAGGGAAGCCCACATGGCCTTCGGAAGGTCAGGATAAAAAAACACTTCCCATTTAAGCAGATTTCAGGAATGTGAAACCAAGATATTCCTGAATATTGGAAGACAAGCTGCTTTCTGAAAAGGCTTTACGGAGAAAGAATGCTGCTTCCCTGCTTCTCACTCCTTTTCCTTCTTACTACTTAATTAATACAGGAGAAATAAAAGAAAGGATAACTACAAGATAATGTCTGATACTAATTACAAGAGAATAGCACTGCACTTAAAGCAGTGTTTGCAGAAAGGACAGATTTTATCCAAGCTGTCACTGACCCACTGAGGGGTAGAGGAAGTAATAGCAAAATGAAAACTCATCTCAGCCAAAGTTTTGCCCAAAAATGAGTAAGGGAGGGAGCAGCCTGGCCTCTGTCTGTCTGTCTGCTTCTCTCTGCCTTGATCTGTGTCTCTGGCTTTCTCCCTTTTCCTCCTTCATTGAAACCCCTTAATAGGAAACACATTTCCTTTTCTGTGGTGTTCCCACCAGAAACCTCAGACTGTCGGGCAAAGGTGAGAACTTTTAGCAATTAAACTGGGGGAGGTGCCGTCCCTTTCCAGTGGCCTGGGCTGCATTTTTTAGCATAAAGTAGCTGTAGGTTGGTCCTACAAGCTTGTTCAGCGCTATTCATCACCCCACCCCCACCTCAGTACAGGCATTTGCAGCCTATTTAGTCATAGAAAGCTGTTTCTGAATTCCCCAGCACTTCCCTGTCTGGCTGGGACAAGCCAGGCTGGGTGTTGCATTTAAAATCTCTTTCAAATAACCTAAAAAGGGGAGAGTGGTGGGCAGGAGCTTCCCCACAGAAAGAACATCTGATGAAAACGTGAGAAAGCTGCGGACAAAGCTGCTGCAATTCCTCCAGCAGTAGCCAAACAGCAGTTAAACCCAGAATATTTACACCAACCACTTTAGCTATCTGTAACCTTCACATTCAAGCTACCCTAGGGATCCTTTTGAACCTTCCCCTCCTGGTTTACCATGTTATCCACCCTGGTTTTTCAAAACATCCTTTGACTTGAAGCACTTGGTAGCATCCTTCCACCACTCTTAATGAGTTGGCTTTGTTCTCCCAGTTAGTACAATCCTGCTTTCCAATGCCTTCTACTTCTGTGTACTTGCTCTCCTGTGCATGTCTTTGGCTTTGCTTTTGGGCAGGAGAAGGAATCCGTAGGAACACAGGACTAATAAGGTCCAACACCTGCAATGGCTGTTACTTCTGGCAGCGATCTGCCTAATCCCCCTCTCTCCAAGGAAAGTAAGACACCCTGTGAATGCTATTGAGGGGCAAGTGAGGTCAATGTTATTTGGGATCATGTGGATTAGAGGAATTGGGGGCTGCATGGCTTAGTCACAAGATCCTAATCACACAGCGCTGGTGTACCTGCAAAAGAGGTATTCTCAGTCCTGCAAAAGAATCTGGGGCAGCATATCATATGCAGAAATCTATAGTTTGCTATGCACTGCCTAGGACCAAGAGCACGTAGAACCCTAGCTGGGACTTACACAGGTTGTGTAAATGAGAAGAGCAGAACACGTTTCTAGGAGTGTTTCTCACCTTAACACACCCACTGCAGGACTGCTGCCCTGCTCCAGCATCGCTCCGTACCAAGCAGGGCTCCTGCTAAGAGTGTCACTGCCTGATGTAGTGGAAACATTTTCAAAGAGCTGTAGGAAAAGTGAGCCTAGAAGATTATGCAGGGTAAACACATATAACGAGACAACCATGAAATGTCCATTACATGCTGGCTTCCAAGAACTCACAGGGCCTCTTCCTCCACTTCCAGAGGAGATTGCAGGAGAATCAAAATGTAATGTTTAGAAAGGAATATTTGCACCACAGACAGAGCAAAACATAAAACCTTCCAAATGAGTTCATCTTTGTGCTCCTCTTGGATATTTTTGTTTTGGATTAGAAAGGTCTTTGAACCAAGAAAGCTCCCCTCCAGAAATCATGGCAAATGCTGGAATACCAATCAGATTGTGCAGCTGTCAGCCCAAAACCAAGCATGTGACACTCTAAAAATGTTCAGATCCTGACAGTGCAATTCATTTCACTTCTTCTGTATGTTCCTCAAACGGGAATTTTCTCTATCACAGCTAGAGAAAGAGGAAAGCTTCTTCCTTACCCCATAATATAAGCTGTGCCACAGTCGTTTCTAGAATCCCTGCTGTGCTACATGCAGCACCTGTGTAAATGCACTGCACAACCTCCTCCTGTTGTATCAGTTTTCAGCAGAGAACCTCGAAGTGCTTTGTGTAGGAGGCAAACTGCTTTGCCCTGATTCCTGAGTGGAGAAACAGTAGCACTTGTGACATGCAGCAGCTGTATTTTGAAATAACCTTGTATCTCTCACAGAAATTGTGTCTAATTGCCTGAAAATATTGGCCTTTGAATTCCAGCGGCAGTGTTTTCTACCAGCCTGAATGGTTTTCCCACTGGCAGAGTACATTCAAACTGCAATAACTCCTTTTCTTTTCACTATAGGTAGCTCACTGCTGGTCTACAACACTCCATCCCACGCAGAAGCTTCCTCACGTCTTGCCACCAAAGAAGGTCAGTCTTTTGCATATAAATACCCTGGCTTCCTGTGCTCATGGAATGATTTTGATTGGATTAAAAGTACGCCTTTTTTTAAACAATGTACTTGGCATGAAAACATTGTCATCTGTGCATACACTATCTGTTTAAATTGGAATAATTCACAGTTTGGAAGCTCCACCCATGCTGAAAATCTCATCTCTGCTTCTCTGGCCGACAACGTGGCATGAAATTCCTATCTGTCATTTTCACACTTGGGTATTGCTGAGTTGATGAGCTGATGGTGTGTTTTCTGTTCTTTATATGAAACAGTTTTAAACCTCAGATACACAACTAAGATTAATACAGTATTTCTCTGAGTAAGTTTGTAGATGAAGGCATCAGATCTTAGAATCATAGAATGGCCTGGGTTGGAAAGGACCTTAATGACCATCTAGTTTCACCCCCTGCTGTGTGCAGGGAAATCTCACAATAAATTCCATTACTGAATAAAGGCAACTCAGATGCTCCAAAGCCACTTGTGAAAACCACGCAGATTAAAAGTTACTGCCATACTTTGGCCCTGTCCAGCTTCTGAGCCACTTAAACATCCTTCAGACAGTTTTTCTGGGTTTTCTTTTGCAGGCACAGTTCTAGTCCTTTTTCTCACTTTTAATGAAAACCTGGTTTCTCAGGGACAATGACATTATGACAGTTGGTGTGATGAGTATGACACACAAACCTCATCTTAGATAAGATGGGAAGTCACAGTCAAACAGCTGACTTGCTGAAGGCCAAGTAGGGCATCAGAGTCCAAAAGTCTGGTTCTGTGCTCAGTAACAGGTCGTGTAGGGCTGCCAGCCTCCAGTCAAGTCTTTCTTTCACTTAGCTTTAAGTGCAGAAACATTGTCTTTGTTCACTTAACAGTGATCAGTGCCTCCATTTGAAAAAACTTGAGTGGAAAGTGTGAAATTTCACATCTGCCATATGAGATAACCCACCCAGAAGCCGTGTGCTCTCATTCTGAGACAGTTTCCTCACCCAGAGTATGAACATTTCTGTGCTTTTCAGGAGAACATGGTTTCATTGACAAACCACAAGTTTGTATTTCAGAGCAGAGGGAAAAGGCAGAAAGCTTTTTATGTAAGCAGCTGGAGAGAGAGACAAAACCCCCATTTCACTGCAAGGCTACAGCAAACTGACATCACACTTTTAACAAGCTTCTGCATGGTGTGTCTGGCTAGCACTGCTCTCACAGCCAGCACTTCTCTCTCGTTGTACTACGCTGCATTCCATTCCAACATCTGTCTTGAACCCTGAGCACAATATCAGTGCTGCTTTTTGCAGCAGCCTCTTTTGTCCAGTACATAACCATCCACTGAGCTTTCTGTTCCCTGGCATGCTGTTCTCTCCTTATGAGACAGGCATCAGTTGATAAAATGTGGTACGTTACAAAGGTAAAGCCATTCAGGCCCTTCGGTGATTGACTGCTCTGACCCTAACAGTCATCCATTTAAAAATAATACAAGCTTGGCTAGCTCCTATTTGAATAAAGCAGACACACGTGCATGTGCTCCCCCACAGCTTCCCCCATAAAACATACATGCACATCCAAGACTGTTCTTTCTGTCTCAGGCCAGGTGATTGATAAACACAAAGGGAAGAAAGCACTGTTCTTCTTATTAAAGAGCAATGCTCCGTGTAAAATTACCCTCCTCAGAACGTTTTGTACCCTTTGTCTTTCTAAGTAGGGTCTAGAGTAGCTTGGGCAGAAAGAAATTAGAGGGGAAAAACATTTCTCCCCCTCCCTCCATTTTTACTGCCCTCAAGTGTGTTTCTTTAGTGCAGCTGACAGAACTTTGCATTTGATTTCTGTCAGCCAGGCATTTGTACTTTACATGGTACTTTCATCATATGTCAATAAAGGACTAAACACACCCATGGGATACTCAAATAAAAATCAGGAACTAGCATAGAAATGCTGAAATCCCATCTTTTACACTTCCATTTCTTCCTAGAGTGCATACATTTCCTTTACATTTATTTAATGTTTGAATACTGTTGTAGGAGAAACCAACTCATTTCAGTTTAACCAATTCAGTGTAACTGATTCATGCTCCAAATATTATCAGTGAGATAAGATGACAGGATAAGAGATGTGAACATGACAGGCTGACAGATAAGGAACTGGGAGAGCAGAGTCAAGTGTCTTGTCCAATATCCCAGAGGAAACTTGTGATGGACATAAAACTGGACATGGAATTCCTCAGCCTCTGTTGAGTCCATCAGACAAGAAGATTTTCTTTGCTTCCTTTTAAGGCTTTTTAATGGGCTGTGCTCAAGATGGTGGTGAAAAGGAACTTCAAGTTCAAAATGACAATTTTTTTCATAAGTATTTTCTCTTGCTTTACTTTCTTATAACAAAAAGTTTTTGTTTTTGTTTTTTTTTTAATTTTACATTAATGAATCTATTAATCCTGTGAATTTTTCTTCTCTCTACACCTAAACAGACAAACAAATTTTTCTAACCACTCTCAATCTCAATCTGATTCAAATGCAGAGCAGGATGAGGTGATGGAATTGTAAAATGCATGTCAGGGACAGGAAGAAAATACTGTTTTCTTCACTCCTCTTGTAATTTTTCTTGCACATTCTCTAGGAGCACACAGTTAATGCACGTAACATGCTTGTGCAAATTCCAGGGAGGAATTGCATGCTCTTTGCATCTGCCTCTATGCTCTATGCAACATGTGCCTTCACACAATGTGAAAACCGACCCACATGGCAAAGAAACACAGACAGGTGCAGTTGTTCCACCTGCTGGGGTGGAAGCTGCGTATGGCTCTGCTCTTCCCCAGCTTGCTATGGACGTGGCAGAGCATCCCTGTGTCACGCAGGAGCACAGGACACCACTTGAGCTGGGATCCACCAGGCAGCACTGCTCTCACAGCTCTGGGTTTCATGCTGCAGCTCTGCAGACACCACTGCTCTGATGCATTGCAGCTGCAGGCTTTGCTCCCTTTTTCCTTTCAGCCTTCTGCCCACTTCTCTTCTGCATTGCCAGTTCTTTATATGCGTCAGCAGAACCTGTGGCACTGCTTTCTAAGGGTTAAACTGCTTTCATGGCAGAAACGGACACTGTAAATTTAGACAGCTTTTGTGCAAAGCTGTTCCTTTTGTTCTCAGATCACATAGGTGGAATCGTGGTTGTGTTCAAAGGAGTCTTGTTGTTGCCCGAGCTCCTCAGTCTCATAAACACTCAAAAGTATGGTATTTAGCGTCATTGGTACAAATTGTCTTCAGCTGCCTTTGAGAAAGAAATTGCTCTAATGAAAATCACCAGTATTTTTTGGCGAGAGAACAATTTTCTGGAAAATGAAACGAGGTTGCTCTCATTGCTGAATGGAAAGATTTGTGTCCCTCTCCAAGCACTCTGCTAGAGAGATGGTCTGCTTCATTTTCCGTGACTGGGGTAATGACTGACCTACTGCAGGTACTGGAGACACTGGAGAAGAATCTGAGACTGCATTATCTGCCTCGGTCCGTGGAGATTTTAAATTGCTCACCTTCAGAATGCTGTCATTTAACCAGGTTTCCATAGGGAAATGGGAGGTGTATTCACATTTAGAAGGCCAAAGAGTTGTGTATTGTATAGTTGTGACTGTTCTGGCCTCGGGCCAGTACATCTTTAAAGCCTGTACTTACTTCTAAGCATGTTGGGGTCTGCAGAACTGACATGTTTAATACTCAGGCCAAAGTGCTGTGGAGGGTTTGAACCAGGTGCCAATCTCTTAGCAGCAGTGCTGGCAGATTCCAGAGAGGAATCATTATGTGTCAGTGTTAAAATTACTTTCATGAAAAATTATAGGAGCATGTGGGTGTTTGCTTCCAGCTTACAGGTTAGGGAGGGTCTCGTTGAAGGCTGGGCTCAGCACAGGTCTTCATCCCTGCTCAGCCTATGGCAATGCAGTCAGCTGGAATAGCAGCAGATCAGGATGAGCTAAAAGCCTCCTAAATCCAACCTCGACTCAGGCGACTGTCTGCCTCTGCAGAAGGGTACAGGAAAAGCTGATGCACTACTTTGAATTTCAGAGACAGATTTGCACATGAATACATGAATGTAAGAGACAAATGTTAAGGAGTTAGTCTGTGGCTGTTACATGCTTATGTTTGCGTTATGGAAGTGCTTGTGGGAACACTGAATATTTCTGTTTGGATATAAGCTGTACTTGCGTATACGTTCTGTTTAGCTGTTGGCAGATTGAAAAAGATAATCAAACCTGTGAGCTCTGAACACAGTGTGAGTTTGGACCCATGTTCATTATGAGCTCCTAGGGAAAAGTCTCCTGATTTTGGAGCGTTTATAACATCTCTCTTGTGCAAATTCCTCAGTACCTCAAAAGTAAGTCCAAGCTGCAGCTTCACAGCAGCCTTCTCTTTCCCACTCCTCTCTTTCCCAGCAGTTTCCTTTATATTGCTAGAAACATTAAAATTTTACCACTCCCACTTCCAAATTTTGGGTAACAGGTTCAGCAGTTTTTGGGACAGGATTGAGGGGGGCAAACAGCACAATTAGCCTGCTTGCACAAGCACAGTTCCCACAGGAAAACAGCCTGAAACTCCTGCATGAAATTCTTCTCTCAGGAAGGCCATTTTTCAGGTCTAAAAGATTGCCACGTGAAAAATACTGACCACTTTTAGTAAACTCTTCTCCAAGTGTGTCAGCAAGACCCCCTGCTCACAGCAAAGGTTACAAACCCTCTGGAGTTATTCAGAGAGGGCAGTTGCAGCTCCGTGCCTTCTCAGCTCCTGTGTGTGCATTTGTCGGTGATATCTGTGTGTTTGGTGGTGAAATAACCCTCACCCGTTTTTAGTTCATGGCAGAAGAAGGGGAGGCTTTTTGGTGCTTCTTTTAATGTGACCGTGTGGCCGAAGCAGGGATTTATGATTTCAGGAGAGACAGTAGCTAGCGCTCTTGGATTTTTCTTTTTTCTTACTTTTTTTTTAATTGTTTTCCTTTGAAATTCCAGAGTTAG